TCTGTTGTTTTCCCACTCTCTCTCCATCTATATTATGTCTTTATGATCTGAAGTTGGATGTCAGTTCTAATAACGGATGTTTTAATACCGCAGTCTTTCCTGAGTCTACGTCTTTGTATATGTTTTTTATGGTACTATTTTATACCCAAAGAAATGAAAAACTCTGCCTCTGGGTATGCATCATTTTTATAAACTGAGATCAATCTGTCAAGGAGCTCACATTACTGCACATATTACTCTGCGTGCTGTGCTCTTGGTTTATGGCTTTATTGCTACTTTTTTGGAAACCACCGGTTGGGGGAAAAAAAAAAAAAAAATCTACTGCTTGAGGAAGCAGAACACCTGGGCTGAGTAAAAACAAAAGAAAATGTCATAATGGAGGAGGGGAGGGGGAGAGGAAGAGGTAATGTAGACAATTTCAGGAAAACAGCTGTGCTGGGTCTTGAGAACTAGACAAAGGGAGTAAAAGGCTGAAGTGTAGGAAGTATGAACATTTTAAAACGTTGGGGAATTAGGGAAAAGGTAAAGTTGGGGAAGAAATGCTTCAGAAGACCATAAGGAGTCTTTGTGGTAGATGATGCACGAGTAACAAAGTGCTTTGTAGCTGTTAAGTGTTCACTCAAAGATGATAATTACCATACAACTTCAGCTGGAATACAACACTTCTATCCATTTTCTTCTATGATGGGTCATAATACTGCATAGAAAGATCTCTGTTTTCTTAAATCTGTGTTTCAGGTGTAAGGGTGAAAAACAAGAGATTTAAAGTATCACACATTTTATCATTTTAACTCTGGCAAAAATACAGTGTACTCCATTGTACAGTATATCATATGGTATGGTATGCTATCTTTTGGTTTGGTATTATGGTATGTTATGGTATGGTTTGGTTTGGTTTGGTATGGATTGATATGTTATGGTATGCTATCATTTGGTTTGATATTATGGTATATTATGGTATGTTATGGTATGGTTTGGTTTGGTTTGGTATGCTATCATTTGGTTTGATATTATGGTATGGTTTTGTATTATGGTTTGGTATGGTATGCTATAATAACCACACCGATGCCAACTACAGAAGGAGACAAAAACATTCCCATGTTGCAATTTTCCTCTTGCAATGGAGTCTACAGCAACATGCTGTAGTTATGAGTGTGTTCAGTGATTCTGAATTGATAGAGGTTAAAAACACTGTAAACAGTGAAAACAACAGGAGGGACAGTGAGAAACAGGAAATCAAATTTACTGATATTACTGGATACCCTTCACCAAAGATCACAAGACTTGAGGTCACACTGTCTTCTTGGTGCTATAAATAACCACATCGCATAATTTGGCCAAGATATAATATACTACTGGCCTTTGTTATGCATCTACTTGTCTCCCCTATATTTAATGTATCACTCCCTAACATCTTGAGAAAATTATTTAATTTCCTTCACGCTTGGCTTTAAAGAAAGCATGTGATTTCTATCTATAGCAACGTCATATTGCATTCGTATTCCTCTGAGAAACATGGCAAGATGCTGTATTGAGGGCATGTTTGTTGGTGCGGCTTATTATGATTGAAGAGATTATTGTCCCTGTTATTGGTTTACAGTGTGGCGTAATGAAAAACGGCTAAAAATGGGTCAAATACTGGACAATGAAAAGCTTTTAATGAATGATAACAGGCTCCTGACACTGTGGATTTGATAGAGATGAGGGCTGTGAATACTGGAGACAGAGGATACATGTGTAAATGTGGAGTTTCCATCTTGCGCCATGTGTTTTCCTTGTTATATTGGCTAATCATGACAAACAAAGGGTTGTGCTCAATGGTGGGAGCTCACTTTGTCTATGATCATGATTGAAGACAGATAGCTTTTTTTCCAGTCCGCCTTCATCACTGTTAACAGATTTCTCTTTAATGGTCAAATAAAAAAAAGGGAATCTGTTAAAGCTAACCAGCACCGTATATTTATAAAGCAACCTATTAACATCGAGCACTGGAATAAAGATGAATGGAAGTACAGATAGAATAGAATAACAGAAATTCAAATACTAACAGACCTTGCAGAACTGTGTCTAGAAAAGTGTCTACACTGAGATATAGAGGAAGGAAGGACTGATACAGCGTATACAACCCTGTCCACTCGCACTAGGTAATCTGTATCGTGCCCAAGCATGTTTGACCCCGTAAGTCCAGTTCGTTTGAGCATGGTCTTATTTGGCCCTGGCACAGATGGAAGAGGTGTGCTTCGGCACAGAACAGTTGCTCATGCACAAGCACAAGTTCACAACATGGACATGAAGTATAATCGATCCCTGCGTTCATTATCAAATATAGACTGTTATTGCTGTATCTGACTAAAATGACTCAAAATAAGCCACAAAGTCAGTAAAGTAGCAATCATATTATATGTGTTGTTTTCTCCGATGTGCAGGCACGGACTTGACCGAGCGTCCCTTAAATTAATTTTTTTTTTTTTAGTCTGGCTGTCTTCTAAACTTTAAATTGCTTCATGATCACCTAAAGTCATGCATGTGTTGTATTACAACGTTATGTAGAAGATGTAACCGTGCTCAGGCCCGGTTTATCTTGTTTTACAGAAGTCTGGACACTTCATATAAATGTATATATCTATATATGCAAAGGGAGAATTAAATAATTAATGGCATGTCTCTATAAGGGTTGGAAACGAGACCAGAATGTAAAACTTCATTGCAATGTTAGTACAATATCTAAGAGCAGTCCTCCTGAAATTCTCTTGAATTGTGAAAATGGCTCGTGTTTCTATTTCAATACAAACATCAGTAATTGATTGGCTTAACCATGTTATGATTCTACATACATTGATGACTTTGCTGATATATTCCCACCAGTATGTAACACTGCTGGACACAGTATGGCACTTTTAATCTAAATACAACTCTGGTAGTTGACATTGCATGTGTACTGCCTGCCTTCATGTGTTGTTCTTCACAGCTCATCCTCATCTGAGTAAATTCACAGCTTGTGTGTACAGATGCTGATCTCCTCTAAAAATCAATAAAAGCTTCGCTTATTAAAAAAAAGTAGAGACAAAGGTTATGTTACATGAGATGAGCTAACAGAGTGATGCATGTTTGTTTACCTGTTATTAGCAACATAATCATTGTTTGCTAACCTTGACCTATGTCAACAAATGCTCTCAAGCAGAGGCACTAAGTACTGCCATGTCTGATTGCCAGAACAAATCACACAGGGAGTAGTTTTTGACTCATTTTCTATTCTTCTCCTGATTTTTTTAAAAATTAAACAGACTCAAATGTTTCCTTATTCTTTCCCAGTACTTTAAGTAAGTATTTTACAAGAAGCACTTATTGGACATGCATCTATGCATTTTATTTTACTCTATTTTCCTGTGATAACAAGTTGATTTCAGTTGTTTCCTCTGGAACTAACTTAATTATGTCATTATTTAGGTAAAGCGAGGCTGATTTTCCAGTGATGACAGGTTCATTTCAGTGGTTTTCTCCATAATTCGACTCATTTATGTTGTTATCTAGGTATAACGTTGGTGATTTTCCTGTGATAACGTGTTCATTTTCTCAATATCTCAAGAGAAAAATTTAAATCTACTCGTTAGCACAAGAAAACAAAGCGAAATAAATGAATGGATGCATGTCCTCTTAGAGCTTCCGCAGTGATTATTTGTCATAGCAAGTAAGTGTAAACCTGTGTTTCAGTACAAAATGTATTTCTTATCCAAATTGATCATTAAATAATCACTGATATGGAAATTTTGCTTTATCTGATAGTATCTGCAAACTGACAAATAAAACCATCCATTTTGAAAAGACTGGCTCCTAAAACAATCACAGCAGTAATTAATTAAGTGTTCGCTTCGTTAGGAAATGAAGCCGGTCCGAAGCTTTCTGAAACAGCTGCCAAAAAGGAATCATACTCTAGATTCTAGGACAACGGGGCTGAGGAATCCTAACCACTTAATCTGCTGATTAACCAAACAACATCAAACCGCAGCTTGTGGCAGAAGAATGAGCATCTATCAGGCCTGAGGACGGCTACAGCGAGCGGTTTTTATTGTCCTCCAGCCGTGAAATGTGCTTTCATCTTGATGAACGGGAGTGTGAATACAGCTCATTCAACAGCTGATGAATCACCGAGGCGTCGACTGACACATCTGACACGCACACAAACAAACACACACACAAACCTCACTTCTCACACTGTTAAGAATGTGTGAACACATATGGTACTACACTCCTCAGCAGCACATGCATCATTTGCCAGTTAATTAAGTAAATGATGATCACTTCAATTATTCCTTTTTTTTTTTTTTTTAACTATTACTATCACCTTAAGTTTGAATGCCTTTAAAATCATACAAATTAACAACTACCCAAATGTTTCCAATCTATTCTTACTAGTGTGGACACGTCCTGACGTTTCCCAGTCCACTAATTCAATCACATCAACACAACTTGTCAAATCTCTGGTCTCAATTAACCCCCCAATGTGCTGAAACAGACCATTATCACTCACCACTGGCTTGGCCCAGAGCAGTGGCTGTTAAAGCGAGGTGTAGTCATTGAAATATTTGACAGAATAAACGTGATCGTTAACACATTTGCATGAGAATGAAGGCCGATGACCCAATGTTGAAAACAGAAATGGCCAATTCCTTGTGATTGTTAGGACTATAAAAGAAGTGTCCATCGTGCTGCATTTTTCCACATCTTATTAACAATGGATCGTTGAAATACACATAAATGATTAACTACTTTTTATATTTTTACATATAAAAGACAAGGTGGCGTTTTCCTTGGTAATAGTGTGTTAATGTTTAAGGTTAAAGTCCACATCAGGAAGAGAAAATCTGAGCATTCCTTGTTTGCAGCTTTCAAAATGAGCGAATGGTGAAACTGAAAGTTGGCACAAAATGAAAGCAAAACAAAAAAACTCACATACATATAATATATACAATATATATATATATATATGAGATTGTACTTACAGGTTCTTGGATTTCTTCTTCTTTGTCCCGTCAGAGCCAACGTCACAGCTACAGGGGGATCCGGAGCTCAGCTGGGGGGAGATGAAGGAGAAGACACACTGCATCATCCAGCCTCCAAACAGAAAGAGGGGGCCTGTGGCTTAAAGCAGATACTGTCTCTCTATCTCTAACTCTTCCCAACAGGCAAGGAAGGTAGCGAGAGAGCTAGTAAAGCTAGTAAATCCTCAGAGAGTCCAGTTAGGGTAGACTAAAAAACGGGTCCAGTCCGTAACACACACAGCCAGCTACCAAAAAGGTTAATCCATAGCAGCAGTCGGCAGTGTAAATCCCACAAGGCAAAGCTCCCAGAGGTTTGTGTCAGTGAAAAAAGAACTGAGCGTATGTATGCAGCAGATGGTGTTTGTAAACTGTTTATGTCCCGCTTTAGCAAAGTCAGGAGATTCTGTGAGTGCGTGAAAGACCGAGGCAGTTGTTTTCTGTCGGCCTCCAACTGTGCACCAGGTTTGAAGTGTGGAGCCAAGACCCCCGGTTTCACATTACACTTTCTACCAACCCTCCATTCTGATTGGTTGGCAGAAAAAAAGGGAAGTTGCCTCAGGGTGGGGAAGAGGTCAATCCGCACTAATCTAATGGCCTGGAGCTGCCCCATTGTATGTGTGTGTGTGTGAGGATCTAAATAATGAGCCATTGTATTACAGGAACAGGACTTGAATCAGAGCTGGACCCGGGTAACAGCTGGTAACACATGGTGAGTGTGCTTTCTGTCAACCTTCACAAGGAGGACATTTTGGGAAAATTAAGGACGTGTTCTGGCTGACCTTCTTTTTCTCAAGGCTCTATTTGGATTAAAGGGACACTCTATTCCAACCACTCATCCCCTGTCGTTTTTTAAGATTGGCTGTAAGGTCTGAACTTTCCTCGTTGAGGGTGGTCTTCATAATAATCATCATGCATCATTATATTTTACCCTTTGAGAAGGGAGTCTACACATGTTAAACAGTAACAGCTCATGCTACCCTTTAAACAAATAGCGTAACGTTCTTGGAAACATGACATTTGATTTCCTATTAGAAGCTGGATGAGAGATTGATACCATTGGTTTACCCTTGTTTTCAGTCTTCATGCTAAGCTAGGCCAGATGTATCTTACTCTTACTACAAAAGACAGATATAAGAGTTGTTCTGTTTTCTCTCCTGAAAATAGAGCAAACTACAAATTCCCCCAAATATGAAGCATTTTCTTTTTAACATAAACTGTCGATGAAATGGTCAAATCCATGTTTAGTGCCAAAAATAAAAAGTCCTACACTATTTTTTTATAAAACAAGCATGTATGTCATTGTCAGAGTATTACTGTTTGAAACAATAATGCTAGGCCCCATGAGAAAACATTTCCCATGTGTTTTTTCGCCAACTTTGTTGCCCCTCGCAGCATATAGCAGCTGTCAGAAGTCATATCCTGTTTTGCTTTCGCATTCCAGTTTAACCTCGTCAGTACATCACCCCCATGAAGCCATTTAATTGACAAATGCAAAGACCACAGAAATACAGGAGGAGACACATGTTTAGATGTGTGACGCAGTCCATTTTAAGCCACATTTCTACCAAGTGGTTCATTTCAGTTCTGTTTGGCACTAATTCTTTTGGCGTTTCCAAGTTGCGAATGATCTCAAACTAACTGATCCATACAGTTCTACGTTTTTTGCTACCCTTCAGGGGCAGAAGGTTTTTTTTTTTTTTTTTTTTGACATATTTCTTTTATTTTATAGTGAAACTGAAGAGAGGCAGGAAATGTTGGGGGAGAGAGTGGGTGATGACTTGCTCCATATGGTCGGGTTGGGAGTAAAACCAGGGATCAATATGTGCATTGAGGGCTGTAGCCTCTGTACTAAAGATGGTACATAAATATGGACATTGGCTCAGTGATTGCCAATTGATTTTTGAAGCAGAATTTTAAAGCCCATCAATGGTGGATGCCATATTGGAAATGCTGTCTCAAACCTGTCAGGAACATCACCCACGGAATTTAGTATGAATAACTTTTAGCTTTTATATAATCAAAAAAGACGAGTTGTAAAAAATTTTTAACCCTCCCCCGAACAGTTTGTACCATAAAGACAAATTCAATTAAAAAAAAAAGGCTGTAAACATGTTTATCTCAGCTAAAAAGTGTTGTTTTTTGAATGGGTGTTTAAGTGACTTCTGGGGCTTTTGCAGCCAGCCTCCAGTGGACACTCGAAGAACTGCAGGTTTTTCAACTTCTGAATTGGCCTCTTGCTTCGTACATAGCAACCATTCTACCAACTAAATAAAAAAAACCACCACATTTAGATATCTCTTCAACAAATTCCAACCTAATTTAACAGCATCTTTACATGACCTCTAAGAACTGGGAGATTTTTAAAGGGCACAATTCCATTAGCGTTAATCGTACCTTGCTGATTTTAAATCCTAATAGAAATTTTGGTCTAATTTCTTATGCTATGGTTGTCTCCTCAGTATTGCAGGGAGTGCTTGTTTTCTCAAATTTGAAAGCTTTTTTTTTGCAAGGAGCACAAAAACCGCACATCTCATGGTTTTAAATTGGACCTTGATTATTGCTGATGTGGGTCAGTACGGTGTTAAAGCGCTCCTTGACCTATAAGGATAAAAGATGTACAAGTTCCTCCGATTTGAGCAATTATCATTAACCTGTCTTGTTCTCTGATCATAAGAATAAACTGTGAATAGATTCATCTGCTAACCTCTCCGCCTTCTTCCATTTCTTTTTTTCTCCCTCCAACTAAGATTAAGTTTATAGGAAGTGTACACTAATGCACCCAGTGCTTTCTGGCTAAAGTAACAGTTGACTGTGAAAGGTGAGTGAGTGTCTGTTATGTAGCTGTCTAAAAATAAGGACAAGTTAAGAGCAGGAACAAATTATTTTTAGAGCTGCTGTTTGATGGGAACAAAGACTTGTGCTTTAAGGTCTATTTGTATGACTTAGAAAAGATTTGGTGAATATTTTCAATCTAATTATATCTAATCTAAAACCAAGATGATACATAACGCAATAATGACATATCTAGGTCTAGAAGTTATTTAGTCACCCTTTGAAAAAGCTACAAACACAGGTTTTAAAGTCCTTTAGGGTCACAAAAGACATCAAAATCTAATCATTAATCTCAGAGGTAACAGCCAAACAAGGTCACAGTGCCAATAGAGCCGTCATCTATGCTTTCCCTCCTGAAACCGCTCCAAACAACCTGGAGAACACCTAAACTTTGCCCTCTCAGAAACATTCCTCACTGTTGTAGCCCCCCAGGACAGGATTATTCAGGGGTATCGGTAGAGCAAATTATGCTGCGTGGTCAGTGGAGATCAGAGGGGGGATTGTCTGTCTGCTGGGTCAGCCTTTGCTCGGCTCACTGCCTGCATGCACGGACTGAATGCTCATTCACACCACACTGCTATGTTCCAGCTGGATGAGAGCCACATCGATACACAGTCAAATATGTGTAACTTAAGGTACAACCAGCATACACAACTGGCTAATTGGATAAGTTAATTTCATAAAAACTTCTTGGTCAAATTGCATTAAATTAAACAGCCTGAATATGTATTTCATTTGTCTGTTTTATATTGGACTTAACAATGTGTCGCTTCATCATAACTATGAATAAGTAATACAGCCCAATCGGTTTATTCTCAGGTTTCCACTCTTTATATTGAAAGCTAGACCCCTAACCGGCCCCCCACGCACACGAGTTGTGTACACATGGACACACACAGACACACGCACACACTCCCAGACTGCCTGGCAATGGTCAGTTGAGCGTATAAAGTCTGACTCTCATCTAAAAATAACCCTGGTGTGTGTTGAGGAGTGTGTGTGTGTGTGTGTGTGTGTGTGTGGATGTATATGTGTATATACTGCTCACTGAATACAGTAAGAAAACACAGATTCTGCCAAAGACCACACTACAATACATTCCCCTGAGGCATGTGATGCAGATGTTGACTTACTCTTTAGTGTTGTTGGATGGCGGTCCAGATAGATAAAAGGTTTAAATGTGCTGCATGTGTGGTTTTGTAACCTCTTCTACAGTCTATAGTGTTTCTAAATGTGCACGTGTGGAGGAAATCACGTTTCTGGCTAAAGTGAGATTAGGAAAACATTTATAGGCACACACGCACATTACCATGGGAACATGTCTGTTTAGCCGCAGGGAAGAAAGTATGGAGAATGTTTGTATTCATGTGTGTGTGGGAAAGAAGTTCGAGACACAAATGGTCTGCTATCCTCTAATAACGAGGCAAAACTATCCGTCTTTGTCTCAACAAACTGTACATACTTCACTTTTGCTCTGCACCAACAAACACATGCTAGGAACAATATTCTGAACGCAGCTCCGAGACATTCTTGACCCAGTCGACCCAAAACTCCAAAATCCTCCAACAGCCTAAAACCCAAAGAGGTGAAGTAATGAATCTTGCTCTTTGTGTATTTAAACTTCTTCTCACCAGTGAAACTCCTGCTGCTATTCTTCATCGGACCTCCCTGAGGCTGCTTGCTTCCTTTTGGTTTCTTTGTTTCTTCTTTTATGTTAAAATAAATTGACATGTTGGCGCCTGCACAGCGTTATAGGGGCCCAGGCAATCTCCCACTCATTTGGAGCAGCCTTGGATCAGTGCTATGTGTTCGATGCTAGTTTCCTGACATTGTGTGTCTCCACTTTGTGTGTTGTATTTAAGTATGAGTCATACCACTTATAGGCTGACGCAGTAGGCATCATTATACCTGGCACCCTGACCTTGCTCCTCACCTTCATTTGCATAAGCTGTGAGGCTGGTTAGAGTTGAAAGAAACACATTTTAACACTAAGTACTTCACAGCTTTTGAAAAGCAACTGTCTATTAAGCCCTAAGAGTTCTTAACATTAAACCCTGCTGATCTCAATCGCAGCATTGTGCTGAATGGAAGGTTGCATTCACTTTTCAAAAAGTATCTCACTTCAATCAGTAAAAGTAAAAAGTAAAAGTGGCCTGTTAGAAAGCAGATTTTCATAAAAAGACCAATTCACGCTTTCCAC